ATTTCCTTGTCTAACAGAAAATACCTACCTGATAACAGGCACATAACTAACTCAAAGCAGTTCAGAGTTGAATTTTAAAGTTTACAAGCAGCCTTTCTTTCTCAACGTAATTTTCTTCTAAATTCTTATTAATACTATTGTTTGTTCTTTAATTTTTTCTGTTAGTAGTCCTAAGACACAGGTTAGGGAGATAAATTTTGTAGATAAATTATAGGATGTTGAGAAGTTAAGTCATCACCCGAAGCCAGGTTTGTAGCAGGAGAACTCTCGTCAAAGGACCTCTTTTCCTAAACAAAAATATTTAGTAAGAACAGTGGCACTGAGTAATCTTTGCAATTCTTTAATGTATGGCTTAAAAGAAGGCAGCTGTGCTTTTTGTATTCAATATCCAATATGTTGTTTTGGTTAAAGTATACGAAGATAATCTAATCTTAAATAGATATATATTTATAAAAGAAGGAGTATTTTAGCAAACTTTTCAGCTAATACAACAACAAGCAGTTGTTTCTTAAAGATTGCATGTAATGTGGAATCTGAAAGTTACATCAGTGGATTTTTCATACAGGTACATTAGAATGCATTAGCCTCACAGTTATATAAGGTAACTGGAATAGTAAAATTGACAGAGACAGAAAATAAGATAGTGGTCACCAGATGGCAGAAGGGGCAGGTGGTGTGGGAGTTTTTGTTAAGTGGGTATAGTTTCTACTTGGGATGATGAAAAAGTTCTAGAACGGATAGTGGTGATGGTTATAAAACAATGTGAATGTACTTCATGCTACTGAGCTGTACACTTAAAGATTGTTAAAATAGTAAATTTCATTATGTATATTTTATCACAGTAAAAAAACAAACCCATTACTGTATCTTGTACTTTAAATAGATCTTTTACCCATGCATGATTTTATACATACATGGGTCATTTGCAAAATACATTGATAACAGTTATACAGATCTTTCAAATGTTGACACATTTCATTATGCAATATCAGAAAATTATACTTGTCAATTATCACCACAGATCTCATCAAGAAAGTCTTTAAAGCATTGGAAAACTGTCAAGTTCATGGTGGAAAATAAAAATTTTCCAAAATTCTAACTTCTACTTGAATGCCTGAATTTTATCACTGACAATAAATCACTGCCATGTCTTCCTTAAAATGACAAGGCTCATTTTTTTGAAAAATGTCTGCTAAATATCCAAGTCTGAAAAGCCATAATTTATTGTTCAGTTGTTCTTTCAAATTAAAAAGATGTTCTATGAAAAATGTAACTAGCTAAGCTCAAAACTTGAACAATGGCTCAAGTGTTTTCCCCATTTCCGAATGAAGTACAAGTAGCATATTCAAGGGTTGAGATCAAATAAAATTAAAAACTTTTACTGTTTTATAAAGAACATTCTTGAGAGAAACTGAATTTTGCTTCTTTTTTTATTATTTTTTTGGTAGTTGTAGATAGACAAAATGTCTTTATTTTATTTGTTTACTTTTATGTGGTGCTAAGGATCTCGAACCCAGTGCTTCATGCATGCCAAGCAAGCGCTCTGCCACTGAGCTACAACCCTAGACACTGAATTTTATTTTTTAACTGTGAGTACACTGAGGAAAGAACATATAGTTGGTCCTCTGTATCCAAAGGACCATAAATCCATATCTATAGATTTAAGAAACTGGATTAAAAAATATTTTGGGGAAAAATTGCATCTGTACTGAACACACACACAGTTTTTTCCTTAGTCATTATCCCTGAACAATATAATAACTATTTATGTAGCTTTTACATTATATTAAGCACTATAAGTAATTTAGAAATGATTTAAAGTATACAGGATGTGCATGGTTTGTATGCAAATACTAATCATTTTATATGAAATACTTGACCACCTGTGGATATTAGTAGGAGACAAATGGAACCAATCCCCTGAAGTTACCAAGAGATGACTGTACTGGCTACTAGTATAGTTTAGTGCCACTGTCTCGATTTGTGCCTAAGGTAGACGTTCTACTCATACAGTGCTTTTGCACCTTCAGTGCAAATGTTAACAGTGGAAAAAGCAAATAACGTTTTATTATCATAAAAATGTTTTTGACCATGAAGTCGCCTTGAAAGGGCCTTACCCCTACATTACTGAGTTATCTTTGGTAAAAATATGAATTACACATTTAGAAATGTGTTTCAACAAGTGAAGTAGATATTTACTCTTTAGCATAACCTCATTTTTTTTTTTTGGTACCAGGGATTGAACTCAGGGGCGCTTGACCACTGAGCCACACCTCCAGCCCTGTTTTGTATTTTATTTAGAAACAGGGTCTCACTGAGTTGCTAAGCACCTCACCATTACCCAAGCTTGGCTTTGAACTCGATATCCTCATACCTCGGCCTCCTTAGCTGCTGGGATTACAGGCATGCGCTAATCCTCATTTTCTTTTAACATTATATTATGGGAAATTTCAAAGACAACATTTAGAGAATAATAGTATAGATCACTATATAGCCATTACCTAACTTCAACAACCAGTAACACCTGTTAGTTCTTATTTCATTTAAACCCTGACATCTTTTTCCTGAAGTATTTTCAAATTCTAGATATTCTATCATTTTCATCCATATCTATTTCAGTATGATTCTCTAACATGTAATGATTTTAAGAAAACTCAAAACACTACCTTTATTTTAATCACAAAACTACATAGCAACCCTTTAATAGTATTTAATACTAAATCTAATTGTATCAGCTTCTAAACAAAGTCTATATACTGTACCTGGTTGATATGTTTGTTTAATCTATGACAATTTCTCAGTTTCCTTTCTTCTTTTTCTGTGGGGCTGGGGATTGAACCCAGGGTTTTGTGCACGCTAAGTACTTGCTCTGCCACTGAGCTACATCCCAGCTTTCTTTTTTTTTTTTTTTCCTTTTCATATAATTTACTTATTGAGGAAATTGGGTCATTTGACTTAATTTTTTTTTTCACATTTTAAATTTGGTTAACAATACCTTCCATGTGTCATTTAACATATTCCTTCATTTTGGGTATTTTGTTTAAATTAATAGTCGAAAGACCTGATTGGATTTAAGTTCAACTTCCCTTGGCAAGAATATTTCATAGTGAGTGCTATGTATTTCTTATTGCATCATATCAGCAGGAACATATGTCTAGTTGTCCTGCTTTTAGTGATGTCAGGACTGATTGCTGAGTTTAGATAAGGCTGGACTGAGCTATCATAAATTCCCCAGAAATTTTACACCTCATTCAGTAGTTTGAATAATTATTAATCATTATGCTTCAAGATTTTATACTCTCTTTAACCTCTGAAAAAGAGAATATAGAAAGGAAAAGCTCAATGAATTTAGGAGCCCAAAGAATTTAACCTTAACTCAAAGAAAACAAACTATTTCTCTTCTTCCTTGAAATTCAATTTCAGTTACTTTCACTGAATACCTACTTATTTCTAGGCATCTAGTCTAAGCCTCTCAGGGTAAGTAAACCACATGAGTAACTATTAAAAGTCAGTGAAATAATAGAGATTTGTATGAAGTGGCAAGAGAACTGAGACGAAGGAGTAAATAATTCTGTTTGCAGAACTTAAAGAAAATCGCATTTGAATTGAAATCCTCAAGGATGAGCTAGGAATCTTCAACTTCATTCCACTCTACCTCTCTGGTTCTAGTCATGTAGGTCTGTTTCTAGTTCCTGGAAACTACTAAAAAAAGTTCTTTCCTGCCTCAGGGTTTCCATACACTGCTGGACCTATTTCCTTACACTCTTCTCTTGGCTGTCTCTCTCATCCATTGAAGCCTCAATGAATCTTTCTTAGATCCTCCAACTCTCTTTTATGTTTTTCAGACAATTATTGTTAATTTCTTTATATTACCCATCACATATGCATGTGTGGGATAATTTGTCCTAAATCTGTTTTTCAGTGGACTATAGGAATCACTAAAACATGGAACTACCAAACCCTTTATTTCTGGAAGAGCATAGGACATGCCGTTAATAAAGTCAATGTTCTGTTTTGACGGACTTTGGAAAGTTCCCTAATGTCCTCTTAGCAGCTGCAATGTACTGTCATGAACAACAGAACTCCTTTTAATACTACCACGTTGTATTAAGTGATTTGTACAATGTTAAGAACATAGTACTCAATGAGTTACTGAATTAAAGGAGTAGCAGCAACAGGCTGACTCCCCTGAGCATCCACCTAACTAGTTTCTGTCATCATTTTGCCTTCCCATAATGAGTCAGATAGAGTTCAATCCAGCCCAGTGCCCAGAGCAATTATTGTTTCCTCTGCAATATTTCAGAGCCTCCTCAATGACCTGGTTTAGGGAACCAAACATTCTAGTGCCTTTGTGAATGGAATTAGGATTCTCAGAGGCCCCACAGGAATCATATTACCTTGGGGGTTTTGAGCACAAACTTCTGTTTGCTTTCATCAGGGCCCAGCTGTGCCTTCAGTTTCAGTAGTTTTGCCACCTCCTCTTCGATCTGTGGAGAGAAAAAGGCCTCTGAGCTATTCATCTGTCACTCCCATCCTCCCCCGCCATTCATTCGATATTCCTCCCTCATCAGGAACTGGGGCAGATCTCTCTGCTTAGACTAGCCTTACTTCTCTGGGGACCCCTCCTGGCTACCTCTCCACCCAGCCCATCCTTCTCCCTAGCAATCCAGTCCCCTTCCTTCACATACCTGACCTCCATGTAGACCACCCCCGTTTTATGCCCTCCCTGGCTTTGCCTGGCCATTCCCCTGCCGCCTGGGTCTCACCTGCTCGGTGCTGGCCTTCTGCTGCTTGAGACCCCGCACGCGCTCTCCCTGAAGTCGCACCAGCTCTTCCAGCTTAGCTCGCTCTGCCATTCCGTCTGCCAACCAGAGCCAACTGAGGTCTAGACCAGCCTGGGTGGACTCGACTACAACCCGGACGACTTCCGGCTATCGAGTCGCTGGCCCGCCTGCCTAGAGAGCCTCCGCAGAGTGCAAAATCCACTTCCGGGTTAGAGAGCCTGGGAAGACAGGATCTCAGTCAACCTGGACTGATTCGGTTCTTGGTCCTTCCTGGCGATCCTGCTTCGCTTCTCCCGCGCACTACGGGGGCCCCGCCCCACTGGTTCCCAGGCCTTTGGCTCCTGTCCCGGAAGGCCGGTGCTCTGCCGCACGATGCCCCAGCTCGGACTCCTGCCCAGGAGGACCTGGGTTACGCTGCTCAGCCAGCTCCTGCGACCGCCCCGCGCTGCGTGCATCTCTGCAGTAGGTTGTCATAGCCAGGTGAGCCGGACTGAGATAGCTTGTCTTTCAGGGTTGGGTCTTCAGGTCTGGAAACATGACTCGCGACCTGTACTATATTATCACGGCTTTTAAAATGGAGTGCTCATTATGTACTTGCACAGAACTAAGCATTTTGGGTGCTTTGTCATTTAACATTTGGAGCAATCTTGGGAGGTTGGGGTTTTTATTTTCATTTTACAGTTGAGGAAACGGAGGCTGCAAGGTTTAATGCCATGTCTGAAGTCATGCAGCAAGGGCATTATTTTAATACAGGTCTATATTCTATTAACTGAAAATTTTGGAGTCGAACACATTATATTCTTAAGCAAAATATTGTGGATATTCCCACTAAATGGGATGGCCAGAGACCATAAACACATTGAGTTCACATTAGAGTTTACTTTAAAATGAATCTCAGAAGGACATCTTCAATTTTCAGAAATTTTTGGAGTTTGGTATTACATATGAGGGATTGTGGCTTTGAACTTGTACTTCTCTTTGGGGGATAGAATCACTAAAACATGGAACTACCAAACCCTTTATTTCTGGAAGGGCATATGACATGCTGTTAATAAAGACAATGTTCTGTTTTGCTGTGCTTTGGAAAGTTCCTTAATGTCCTCTTAGCAGATGCAATGTACTGTCACAAACAACAGAACTCCTTTTAAAAATTAATTTTCAGTCACAGCATGTTACTAGCCTGAGTTTTTAAGTTTTGTCAAGAAATGCTTTTCTTTTCACCTCAGGCTTGTTCGGGGTTCTTGGGCTACTTCTGTTTCAGCTTACATTTTCCTTATCTCCAAGCCTGATAAACAAAACTGTCTTATTAGGATTCCTATTTTTGCTGTTTGAGTAGGAACTGAAGACTGGAAGAAGTCATAATTAATTCCTGCTTTTACATGTTTGTTGGTGTAGTGGTGTTCTGTGCCTTCATTGTTCTCAGTTATTTAAACTTTTTCAGACACTTAAAAAACTAAGATACAGTGAAGAAGCTTGTGTGGTGAAGACCTGACCTCATATATTACATGTATATTTGTAGATACAGCATAGGTTCTTGAGGAGGGCGGCTGAGATCAGGATAGCACTCAGGCTTCCTGTTGCTTAGGGTCAAGGGTTTTTGTAGGTTGGTGGTCCATAGGATCAGTGACGTCACAGGTCTGACCAGTGTGTGATGGAGCCACATCTTATATTCCTTTTTCTTCCAGGTTGCAGAGGCATTGTTAACATCCCAACCTAAACCACATCAAGAGAAACCAAATTTTATCATTAAGATCCCGAAGGTAATACCCTTTGCTCATCCTGTCCCATTAGCATGCTTTCAAGGACTGACCTCTGCATCACTTATTTCTCTGACCCCTTTTAGAATCCTTTTAAGCTAAGTTTTCTTCCTCCCTTTGGACCAAGGATTGAACCCAGGGACACTTAACCACTGACCCACATCCCCAGTCTTTTTTTTTTTTTTTTTTTTTTCATTCTGAAATAGGGTCTCACTAAGTTGTTTAGGGCCTTGGTAAGGCCTTAGGGCTGGCCTTAAATTTGTGAACCTCCTGCTTGCCCTCCTGAGTTGCTGGGAATACAGGCATGTGCCACCACACCTAGCCTTTTAAGCTAAATTAAAAGAAAACAACACATTCATACAAAACCTTTACAGCTGGCCATGGTGGTGCATGCCTGTAATCCCACTGACTCAAGAGGCTGAGGTAGGAGGATCACACTTTGAGGCTAGCCTTAAAGACTTGGTGAGGTCCTAAGCAATTTAGTGAGACCCTGTCTCAAAATAAAAATATAAAGAATTGAGGATGTAGCTCAGTGGTAAAGTTCCCCTGGGTTCAATCACCAATCTAAAAAATCCAAGAGGTCCTGAGTTTGATCCTCAGCACCACAAAGTTTTGTTTTGTTTTTACAAAAACCCTTTACTGGGCTCGGGTTGTGGCTCAGTGGTAGAACGCTCGCCTAGCTTGTGCCAGGTGCTTGGTTTGATCTTCAGCACCACATAAAAATAAACAAAATAAAGGTATTGGGTCCAACTACAACTAAAAAAAATTTAAAAAACCTTTACTATTTTTGAGATATTGGGTGAGTATCAGAGTCAGAAAAAAATGTTAGCTCTAAACCTTAGATTATAGGTATAGTTTAACTCTTTCTCTTAAATGGTCATTTAAATTTTTTGTTTTGTTTTGCTTGTATTTTGACTGCTTTTGGCCTCAAGGGCACCAGGGATCTTAGTCCTCAACAGATGGTTGTGAGGGAGAAAATTCTTGATATGGTTGTCAGCTGTTTTAAACGTCATGGAGCAAAGGGTTTGGATACCCCAGCATTTGAGCTAACGGTAAGAACAGAAGAGGGCCTAGAACCCCTTTTTTTTACCTACCTTCAGAGTCCCAAAGGGTTTCTCATCTGTGTTCTCTAGTCATCCTTTGAACTGTGGCTCTATTTGGCCCCTGTAGGAAATGCTAACTGAGAAATATGAAGAGCACTCTGGGCTCATGTATGATCTGAAAGATCAAGGTGGAGAACTGCTGTCCCTTCGCTATGACCTTACTGTATCCTTCTGAGTGCTGCAGTCTGACCTCTGTCCAGATCCAGAGAACTTTCTCTGACAAAAGGGAAGAGAGTGATTCTGGGACACTATAGTTTTATTGGCAGTAGCCTTCTGGTTTCTCCCAGAAGGCAATTGTTCCAGCAGAGCCTGGGCTGGAGCCCTGTCATTTAATTTTGTTGTGTATTAGAATTCCTTGGGGAAGCTTGCTAAAACATCAATTCCAGAGTTTCTTATTTCTGTAACTTCAGTGGAATTCAACAATTTGCATTTTAAACAGGCATCCTGGGTAATTAAAATGCATGTGGTCCTTGGCCTACACTTTTAGAAATAAGGATTTGAAATTGTAGGAAAATCCAGGTTCTGAAGCTTGACTATTTTGAAATAGTAGGGTTTGGGAGGAAATGGCCCAGACCTGAATTTCTCTGCTTCTTTCTGTTCAACTTTCAGTTTTGCTAGGTGAGATTCCTTCACTTGACACTCTTCAATATATTTTGAATGCCAAGCACTGCTACCCCTTAGGGATAGTGGGAAATAATACATAGAAAGTCCTTGTTCTCAATCCTAGTGGATAAGATCCAATTGATAGAGGACAAATCCTCTCTAATGGGCCCAAACTTTGAATGCAATATCTTTCTTCCTTAATCTATCTATATGAGGTCCCCTTTGCTCGTTATCTGGCCATGAATAAATTGAAGAAGATGAAACGCTACCAAGTTGGAAAGGTGTGGCGGCGAGAGAGCCCAACAATAGTCCAAGGCCGCTACAGGGAGTTCTGCCAGTGTGTGAGTGACCTGATGGGGATAGCACAGCTTGATAGTTAAACAGGGAATTGACTGATTAGTGGAAGTTTTTTCCTTTTTTTTTTTCTTTACTGTAGGATTTTGACATTGCTGGTCACTTTGACCCTATGATCCCTGATGCAGAATGTTTGAAGATCATGTGTGAAGTCCTAAGTGGGTTACAGCTAGGGGACTTTCTCATTAAGGTGAGGCCTAGCTGAGGACTGGGGGAGATGTCTGGATTTGGCCTGATAATGTGAATATACGTGTACTCTTTTGGTAAGATTTTTTTTTTTCTTATTCCTGTTATGAGTCAGGAGGTTTTAAGGGAAAGGGTCTTGACAAGGCACTTGGGTTACTCGCATTGAATTTACAGGTCAATGACCGGCGGGTAGTGGACGGGATGTTTGCTGTTTGTGGTGTTCCTGAAAGCAAGTTCCGTGCCATCTGTGCCTCAATGGACAAACTAGACAAGGTAATGAAGAAACCATGCTTCAGTAGACCCTATTTGGATTTCTGCCATGTCCTCAAATTCATACCATTTGAAGAAAATAAGGAACAGTGTCTGGAAGTGAGTTCTTGAAGGAGGAAGTTAAGGAGATATTCTGAAGCAAGATCTGAGTTGTACTGTATGGTGAGGATAGTGGCTGAGTATCTTAGACTGCCTCTGAGGGCTTGGATTGTGGCTCAGTGTTAGATTGCTTGCCTAGCATGTGTGAGGCACTGGGTTTGACTCTTAGCACTGCATATAAATAAATGAATAAAATAAAGGTTCATCAACATCTGAAAAATATTTTTTAAAAAACTGCCTCTGAGTATACTAATATACTTAACTATTTATGACATACTTATTAAATGACAGATACCCTTTTCCAGTTAGACAAAGGATTTGGAACTGAGCTAACATTTGGATATTTATGCAGATGTCTTGGAGAGATGTGAGACATGAGATGGTGGCAAAGAAAGGCTTGGCTCCTGAGGTGGCTGATCGAATTGGGGAGTATATCCAATGTCATGGTAAGAACCAGGGTTTTCAGAACTGTGATAGAACCAGGCTGCTGCTGACATTTTCAGTTTCCACCTCCAAATCAGCTACTTTCTATAGATGTATTTATTAAGCTTCAGAGCCTGGTCTGAATTTAGTTTTCTTTTTACTTAATATAAGTATGTTATATCTTCAAATGGCAGAGGTAAAGGCAGGGGAGAGGACCTCATGATACGAGACCAGGATCTTCTCTTTCTCCTTCTCCTTCATTTTAAAAACAAGATTAGATAAATTTGGATGAAGCACATCCGGGTAAATAGCATACACCTTATTGCTCCCTACATTTCTTCCCAGGTGGAGTATCTCTGATAGAGCAATTGTTTCAGGATCCCAGACTATCCCAGAATAAGCAGGCCCTGGAGGGCCTAGGGGACCTGAAGTTGCTTTTTGAATACCTGACTTTATTTGGAATTGCTGAGAAGGTAAGCTGAGTTGGGAGTGGACCTCTTGTGTAGTGAGAGCCTGGTCTGGGATTGACTATAGCCTTGTCCTCACAGATATGCTTTGACCTAAGCCTGGCTCGGGGCATGGACTACTATACAGGAGTGATCTATGAAGCAGTACTGCTACAAACCCCAGCTCAGGCTGGGGAGGAGCCCCTGAATGTGGGCAGTGTGGCAGCTGGTGGGCGTTATGATGAGCTGGTGGCMACGTTTGACCCCAAGGGCCACAAAGTGCCATGTGTGGGCCTAAGCATTGGAATAGAGCGAATTTTCTACATTGTGGAGCAGAGGATGAAGGTAGGTCCTAGGTAGGGCTGAGGTAGGGTTAGAGATATAAAAATCTATTTCTGGCAGTATAGTTGGACTGCTTTTCTGATAATTTATTTATCTTGGTTTTTGGAATTGCTGGTGCAGAGGATGTTTTTATTAATTTTACTTTCTTCTATTTCTTATCAGAATTCTTTCAAGAAGGTACGGACCACAGAGACCCAAGTATTTGTGGCCACGCCCCAGAAGAACTTTCTCCGGGAACGGTTGAAACTAATTGCAGAGCTTTGGGATGCTGGAATCAAGGTATAGTGGGGCTGCTATCTGTGCCATTTAGGCATATATGGAACTCAGGAGCAAGGCTTATTTCTACCTTTTTTAGTATACCACTAGAGGGCCAGCCACTTATTTCTGGCTTCCTTGGAAATGTATGTTTTTGGAGTTTATGTGCTGTGGTGATAGTAGTAAGGTCCCCTACTGTGTCTTGACTCCTTTCAGGCAGAGATGCTATACAAGAACAACCCTAAACTATTAACTCAACTGCACTATTGTGAGAACACAGGCATTCCATTGGTGGTCATTATTGGTGAGCAAGAACAGAAGGAAGGGGTCATCAAACTCCGTTCGGTGGCCAGCAGAGAGGAGGTGAGTGGGAGCAGGCAGAAATAGAAGGGATCAAGTGTTTGTATCTTTTCTAGATTCTTAAGAAATATGTGTTTTCTGGCTGAGAAAATAAATTCAGGGGTAGTAGTATTAGGGTTGAATGAAGACCTACCCCAAACAACAGTTGTAGCCAGTGAATATTGGCTGTGTGGGCAGAAGAAGGACAAATGAAATTTGAATTGGTGTTTTGAGACTAATCAACAAAATAGATCAGATGTTTTAATCCTTTTCGTCTTGAGGGCATACATTTTCTCGGTACACTTGGAGCCTTTACTACTCCCTACTGGTTGCATAAATAGTTGGAACTGATACAGAGTAAAATAAATCTGGAAAAACAATGGCTAAGAAGATAGTAGTACCCTTTCTAGTTTGTCACATGAGGGTTCTCTTATGTTTTAGGTTGCCATTAAACGGGAAAATCTTGTGGCTGAAATTCAGAAGAGACTGTCTGAGTCTTGATCCTTGCCTGATTGCCATCTGCTGCTCTTTGTAGAAAAATTTTCATCCAGGACTGAATTCCTGATAGACTTCACAACAGCTGGCCAGGATGGGTGACAAGTGCCTTCTGCCTCCTCTGTCCTTTCTGAATATGGAACTATAGAAGGCCCTAAGGACTCTTGGGCTAGTGTAAGCAGCTACTCTGCCTGGTGCAGATGGCTGGTATGTGAAAGAGACATACTTTTGCTGTAGAGGCAAATTTGAAATGCCTCTGAATGCTATGAAGAGGTGCTAAAATGGTTGCTATGATCAAGGCTCTGGAAGAGTTGCCTCAGGCTGAGGATTCTGAACCATGGAGATCAGATGCCAGATACTTAGCTTTTCATTGTAGTGTTGGAACCAGATTCTGGGGAATTTGTCCACAAGTCCTTGGCCTGTCCAGAGAGTTTTGGGAAGACAGCGCGGATGGACAATGGCTATTTTCTGCTACATCTGAGGACATAGATGGTATCTCAAGAGCATGGTATTATTTCTAGCCTATCCACTGGTAACAGTAGCAGGATGGGGCTGTCTGTTTAATAACCTTGAATATTGAACTTAATAGGTGAATTGAATAGATGGAGATCTGATCTTTTGAGATTTTGGAGACCATTTTCTATGCCAGAATCATTGCTGTGACTATTCGACACTGCCATGGAGGCTCTTCTAGAATTGGTTGGATAAAATATTAAATAAAATATTAAGTGTAATAGTTTGGGTAATTTGCTATCATGGGGTTCATTTGCATAGGCCATAGAAAATGATTGCGTGTACACTAGAGAATTCTGTGAGCTAGGAGAAACCTCCCTGGGGTGATACTTCTGCATTTAGTAAAGGGAGCTGCCACAGTTCCCTCTTTCTATTCTCCCTTCATACAGTTATGTCACTAAAAATCACCATATTGTGAGCCATTTGCCAGAATGCTTCACTTTAGGATGGTGTGCTGATGACCTTTCTTTCCATATCTAATCCTGTTGATTAAATTGTGCCCTACAAACTGAATGGCCAATTCAATGATAACTGAGTTAAGGAATGGGTGGGTCCATTATTTCAAGAATTAGGGCCCAAGTGCAAAAAGAGTTTTTCTTCTGTGCCTGGGGAAAGGTAGCAGCTGTTGCAAATATCCTTTAGCTTAGGACCATATTCCTAGTGCTTGCTGGTGAATGGAACTTATAGATCCCCTAATTAGCACTTCAGCCTTTCAAAGGTTAGAAACTCTTTGACAATACAAGCATAGTTGACTGGATTAGATCAACCCCTTGACAATACACGTATAGTTGATTGGATTAGATCAACTCCTTGACAATACATGTATAGTTGATTGGATTAGATCAGTTTCTGAAACTCGGTTTCCTTTTTTGTAAAACAGATGAGTTGAACTAATAATCCTTTGATGGTTGTTTTGAAAGCCTGAGTTAAAAGAACGCTTGCAGGCGCCCTTACTTCCGCGTTGCTTCACGCTCTTATTACGCCTGCGCCATCTCCTAGGAGCGGAGGCGGGGCCGACGAGCGAGTATTAGAAGCTCTCCAGTCCTTAGCGCGTTTTAGAACACGGGACTCTAAACTTATTGGACGGCGGTCTTGCTTTACAGCTCCAGGCCGCTTTTTACGGCATTTTCCGGCTTTCCATTCACTTCGCTGTGAAGATGGCGTCGGGCAGCGGGGTAGGTGTTGTGTGTGAGGAGAATGTTTGCGGGTAAGGGCGGGTGTGCTTTCTCGTCGCTGAATAAAGACAGACAACGGCACCCGACTGGCTTCCCAACACCACTTGGCGATCCCAGGGTCTGGGTTCGAGAACTCCCCCTTAAGGTCCAGGCGCAGAGACCGGTGAACTCGCGGAGGTCTCTCGGGTTGGGGTCCTGAGTCCATCTTAGCCTCCTAGTGCGGTCGAGAGAAGCTTCGCTTTCGGAAAGTCTGGGGTTGACTTGGTGGCGAGAACACTGTCACCTCATTTTCTCTAGGGGTCCGGACACCATTAGCGACGGATCTTGAGCACTTTTTTCCCCTACAGACAAAAAACTTGGACTTTCGCCGAAAGTGGGACAAAGATGAATACGAGAAGCTCGCCGAGAAGAGGCTCACGGAAGAGAGAGAAAAGAAGGATGGTGGGTGCCCACTTCAAGGGTTAAGGGTATCATAGAGGCGATGCAATGGCTGGRGAGTGGGTGGGAGTTGAAAAGCGCTGCTCACTTGCCCCATGTCATCTCTGGGAGCGTGGCCTCCCTGGTCTTCGGTTTCTACATGTATAACAAAATGAGAGCGAGAAGGTAGACTGAAGTTGAGTTTCTTTTCAGCTTTGTTATCCTCTGCTTCCTTGCCATTCCTTCGCTTGTTCAATTAGTGCTTTCTTGAAGGACATACAGAGAGGGGACTGGAATTTGCAGTAGTAACAAAGAATAAGCAAAGTGGAATAGTTTACTGCTGAACACTACTGCTGTCTTTTGAAATTTCTTAAGGAGAGAAGGCCCAATCAAGACCCTCCCGCAAAGTCTCAGAAAAGCAGGGGTACCCATGAGGAATTTGTGATTGTTTCATGTGATGCTTAGTGGATGCCGTTTCTCAGTACCTGGTACAGTGTCAGGGAATTGGTGCTCCTCTTCGTTTTACAAAAAAAAATTTCTTATTTTCTCATCTGTTTTCAAACATAGTCTTATGCTTTACTTCCATACCACCTTATCTAACATTAATCCTCTTTGTTTTTTATGTAATGTGTATAATAAATAGTGCTTGGTGTGCCTGTTAAATGAATAAGTATTTCCCAAATATTAGGTGGTCTTTTTGAAAATTTGACCGAGTGTTCCTTTTTGTGTGGTGCTTAGGGTATCTGTATGCATAAAAGCATTACTGAGTGCCTTGCTTCTCTTAAAAAGGTAGCTTCTGGTGGAAATACATATCTCCCCTTCAGTTAAGTTAATGAATAGAAAACACGTTGCTTCTAGACTTGCTGACTTTATTTTTTATTAGATTGGTACCAGGGATTGAGCCCAGGGGTGCTTAACCACTGAGCTACATCCCCAGCTTTTTTTTTTTTTTATTTTATGTATATATATATTTAGAAACAGGGTCTTGCTGAGTTGCTTAGGGCCTTGCTAAGTTGCTGAGGCTGGCTTTGAACTTGTGATCATACTGCTTCAGCCTCCCAGGCTGCTGGGTTTACAGGTATGTGCCATCGTGCCTGGTGACTTGCTGGCTTTAAAGTGAAGAAAAACTGTAGTGAATCGGGGATTGCTTATCACTTTTTTCTGTGTTCAGGTTCTCATTCAGCTGCTGCTAACTGTCTCTTAAGGTGCATATTGTGTTTCATCTTTCATGAATCAAAAAAGAAATGAAAACCTGAGCAAGGTGACACATGCCTGTAATCCCAGCTACTTAAGAGGCTGAGGCAGGAGGATTGCAAATTCTAGGCCAGCCTGGGCAACTGGCCAGACCCTGTCTCAAAATAAGAAATAAGGACTGGGGGGTGTAGCTTAATGATAGAGTGGAGCTGGGTTCAATCCTTGGTACCACAAAAGAAACAGAAATAAAAAGAAATGAGAGTAGTTCCCTGGATTTTGAGTTTCATTCATTTTTCTTTCTGGTTGAAGAAATATAATATTGAAGGGACTTTCTTTCCCATCATGTTTTAGGAAAACCAGTGCAGCCAGTCAAACGGGAACTTCTGCGGCATAGGGACTACAAAGTGGACTTGGAATCTAAGCTTGGGAAGACAATTGTCATTACCAAGACCACCCCACAGTCTGAGATGGGAGGGTAAGTAGTTTTTCATCTTTCTTTGAAGCAAAGATGTGTATAATAAACTACCTGTTGGTTTTAGGAAGTGTAGAGGAGGGTCCCTGACCCCAGGGAACAATCTTATTTTGACCATAATTCTATCCTTTTATGTAAACATGTATTTTTATTTCTTTCCAGGGTCTTTAGTGAATAGTCTGTGGGAGGGGAGGGATTGCTTTGTGAACTTCGGTATGTTAGTCCTATGACTACTGGGGTGTTTTTCTTTGTTAAGGTCTCAAGTTTGTGGTCTTTAGGAGAAGTTGCTTTGTGGGCATTTTAATATTAGTACTATAACTATTTCTTAAAATCTTGAAAGGGATTATTCTGTCAGAAGAAATGAGGGAAGGAATTACTGAGAAGATTTTTAGGGGAGAAATTTAATAGAGCTAGATTAGAACTAAGAAGCTGTTAATGGTGAAGAAAGAGTATTGAGGTTCCAGATTAGCTGCAAAGTCCATAGTTGTTATTAATTTTCTTTCCAGACCGAGACTACATTCTGTAGGAAGTAGGGTTCCACAATAGCTTGTTACCCTTTTGTCACCCTACAACTCTTCCTCTGTCCAGTTAGGATTTCCAGCAGGAGAAAAATATAGATACCAATTAGTGTCCCTTCTCTGAGCTGTTTAGTATACCCACTGATATCATTTTTATCTCTATTATCTTTTGTTATGTAAATTATCAAGTTAATTCAGAGTTAAGCAGCAAAAAATAGTTTCTGTGGGCAAGGAATCTGGGAGTAGTTTACCCAGGTGTTTCTGGCTCAGGGTCTTTTGTAAGGCTGTAGTCAAGGAATTGGCTTGGAGGTCTAAATAAAGCTGGAGGATCTGCCTTCAAGCTCTCTCACATGCCTGTGATTTGGAGACTGAAATTCTTCATCCCATGGGCTTCTCAAAACAAAGCAACTGACTTGCCCAGAGCAAGTAATCCACACAAGGACAGAAGCCTTGTTTTTTGATGTCCTTAGAAGTACGTACCATCAGTTTTGACATGTTTGGTATGTTGGTCATACAGATCAACCCTGGTACAAACTGAGAGGAGGCAACACAGGTAGGAATAGGAGGGTTGGTCTGTTTTGGAGGTTGGCTACCACCCTCTCTCAAGAGTTAAGCTATAATGGAAACTCTAAAGAGATTACATAAAAATTAGTTTCTTTCTGTGTGTGTTGGTTTACACTTACCCCAGCATCTTAGGAGGCTAAGGCAGGAGGATTCCAAGTTTGAGGCCAACTTCAGCAACTTAGTGAGACCCTGTCTCAAAATTAAAAGGACTGGAGATGTGGCTGAGTGGTAAAGCACCTCTGAGTTCAATCACCAGTAAGCCTGACCCCCTGAAATTGTAATTTCTTGTTTGATTAAAACCAGATTTACCCATGTGCTATTTCTTCCCATCTGTCAGATATTACTGCAATGTCTGTGACTGTGTGGTGAAAGACTCTATCAACTTCCTGGATCACATTAATGGAAAGAAACGTAAGGCTTGGAGGTAGTTTGTGAGTGGGACTGGGATTGGGTTTTGGAAGTGGGGTAGGGAAGAGTTGTTAAATACCCAGGAACTCTTCCATTTGCTTTAGCACAGGCCATCCTTTACTTTCTTAGTTTAATATTTCTTGAGGCTATAAGGTGAGAGATTGTTCTAGGTTCTCAGCCCAAATATGGCCTTCTAGGCCTAGGTAGCCCCACTGGTGCTTATCTGCTAAGTAAGGGCAGTAGAAAGCCACTGTTGCTTCTGGGAACAGGTGAGGATAAGAATTTCTTTTAGCCATAGTTATTTCTGCTATATAATTATTTGGGGTATTTTGCAAAAAGATATATATATATATATTTATTATTTATTTTGTGGTGTTAGGGATCAAACCCAGGGCATTGCATATACTAGGCAATTGTTCCACCACTGAGCTCCTTGCCCTGAAAAAATGTCTTCTTATTTTATTATTTTTGAAACATTAAAAAAAAAATTCCAAGACTTTTTGAGGGGCTTTGTAATAATAACCTTGATTTATTCCCTATTGATGCCACCCAGATCAGCGAAACCTGGGTATGTCTATGCGTGTGGAACGTTCCACCCTGGATCAGGTGAAGAAACGTTTTGAAGTCAACAAGAAAAAGATGGAAGAGAAGCAGAAAGATTATGATTTTGAGGAAAGGATGAAGGAGCTCAGAGAAGAGGTGAGACTCTTATCCCTGCCCCTCTTTAGCTTTGAATTTTATCTTATTGTTCATGGTTGGCTTCCTTCCTCATGCTATACTTTCTCTTCCCTAGTTTTGTCCCTGAATTTCTGTATACTAGGGGAAAACGTTCTTTGAGCTGCTCATGAGCTAAAGGAAATGGCTCCAAATATACCTTTTTTCCTAGACTGTTTGGGCCATTTTCCTAGACTGTTTCAACTTATTATTTTTTTATTTAATTTTTTAAGAAGACTTATTTTTTTTAAGAGCAATTTTAGGATCACAGCAAAATTTAGAGGAAGGTATAAAGATTTTCAATTTACCTCCTGCACCCCACACATGCATAGACTCCCCATATTCTTTTTTAAAACTATAAGACTAAAAAAAAAATGGATTAGCTCAGTGTACCTAGTCTCTGAGTAGTCTGTGGATCTAGGTTGATAGTGTCAGAATTCTGTTTCCTCCACTTACTGACTGTGGAGGAAACTTAGAAACTGGGTTATGTTATATAACTTCCCCATGATTCAGGTTCCCTATATTAGTGATCTTAGTATAATAATACATAAAGTACTCAGAAGTACTTCCTGGCATATGCTACATGTTTCAAAATGTTAAATGGTTTTGTACCTATAACCCTGTTAAGAACTAGAAATAAAAGAGCAGCGGAGGAGAACTAGAGATGAACTGGGTATAGGATTGGAAGTTCCAGATTATCCCTTATAATCTTTGTTTTAAAAAAAAATTACTCTAATTTGTTATATACCTTATAATCTTTACTGTGGCTTTTACTCTGCCCTTGAGATTTTTTTACTTTCTTCTAAAGATAAAAAGGAATCTTGAGGGGCTGGGAATGTGGCTCAGGCGGTAGCCCGCTCGTCTGGCATGCGTGCGACCCGGGTTCAATCCTCAGCACCACATACAAACAAAGATGTTGTGTCCGCCGAGAACTAAAAAAAATAAATATTAAAAATTCTCTCTCTCTCTCCCCCTCCCCCTCCCCTCTCCCTCCTCTCTCACTCTCTCTTAAAAAATAAATAAATAAATAAATAAATAAATAAATAAATAAAAATTTTAAAAAAAGAAAGGAATCTTGAGGCTCCCATTTCTTTCTTTATATATATATATATATATATATATATATATTTTTTTTTTTTTTAATTGTAGATAGATACCTTTATTTTATTTATTTATTTTTATGTGGTGCTGAGGATCAAAACCAGTGCTCCCATATGCTAGGCAAGCACTCTACCACTGAGCTACAACCCCGGCCCCTCCCATCTCTTTTGACAACATTTGGCTCAGGAGTCTGAACTGAGTTATTTCTGCACTTCCCCCCAGGAGGAAAAGGCTAAAGCATATAAGAAAGAGAAACAGAAGGAGAAGAAGAGGAGGGCTGAGGAAGACTTGACATTTGAAGAAGATGATGAGATGGCAGCTGTGATGGGCTTCTCTGGCTTTGGTTCCACCAAGAAGAGTTACTGAGGCTTTCTATGCTTGGCCTAACTTTGGCCTATGCTGGACCTAACTTTGTGTGTGTGTTAGGGGGATCATTTCTTTTTGGGTACTGGGAAAGTCCTTAAGAGTGTCTGTGGGCAGGACTAAAGGGTGGGTGTTTGTGGCTTCCCTCTACTGTGGGAGAGGACACAGGATGCAGAGGTAATGCTGTGGCATATTCCTTTAGCTTCCAGTATATCACCGGAGTCACAAGACCTCTGCCCATCTGAGTTCCCAATAAAGAAAGGCCTCCCCTTCTGAGACTGCTTTCCCAAAACTCCCTCTGCATCTTTCCCTCTTCATCTATCTAACCTCTTGTGTGAGCATCCTACCTTTATCCTGTGTTCTGCCTTTATTTTTGACTTGTTCAGCCTGCAACAGAAGGATTCTCTGGGTCCCCATTTTCCAGCTGATGCCATATTTTTGACCAGCCCTGCCTCCCATCCTGCCCTATGGTTCTCTAGCCTCCTCCTGTGCATGCATGTGTATTTCTGCCTGGGTCAATGGTATGTGTGGATTGTGTGCATGAATCTGTCACAAAGAGGGGAGCCTGAGCTAGACTCTCAGAGCATTGCTGCCCTGGGGCCTGATGTTCTTGGTTTCCTTAGCGCATGTAACAGGAAATTAAATGGGATGAGTGTTTGGTGTGGTTTCTGTCTGCTGAGTTTTTTAACATTGTTCTTCAGATGTGGACTGTTTTACCTTCTCCAGTTTGTTTCATTTTACTGAAGATTTCTTTTGTTTTTGTCTTCCTTGTGAGCAGGCTCTTGGAAGAACCTGTTTGATGCAAAAAAAGTAAATGGAAAAAAAAAAAAAAGCAACAAAAAACAACCAAAACCCAAAAAATACAACCAAGCAAACAAACTCACTGTGGGAGCCCTTGGGTCTCAGAGGTTATTCAACATGTATAATAAATGGCATTGACTGGGCCTGTTTCACATTTGGTGGGAACATTCCATATTCTTTGCTGTGTGTATATTTTTCCTTCCCATACTGAGGATTTACTATAGAGCCTTTTTTTTCTCTCTCCATTTGACCTTTGTGTTTTTATATTAACTTAGGTTCCTTCAGCATGAGTTGTTTTTCTCTGATGAAAGGTCTGGGTCCTGAGGAGTCCAGACAAAACTTCCTATAATTTCAGCCTCCTGATCATGAATAGAAGTCAGGGTTGAACTTAATAGTTTTTCTTATCTGCAGTGGGGGGCTAGGCACCAGGTTACTCAGTCTTAGCACTATTTACATTTTGGGCTAGATAAGTCTTTGGTATAGGGGCTGTTTTAAATATTATAGAATGTTTAAAAGCATCCCTGGCCTCTACCCACTAGTTGGCATAACAGCACCTCTAGTTTGACAACTAAAAATGTCTATTTCAGGAGGTAGGCAAATTGCCTCCTCTTAACCTCCACTGAGAATCACTGAGAAGGCGACTTCCCTACCAGGATCTAACTTGAGAATTAAATAGCACAGTCTAAAAGCAAAACAGAAATCTGATCTAAATCGGGTACTGCCAGATCTAGTGATACAGATGTAAAAAACAGCCATAACGCAAGCAAAACAAAAAACCTCATTGAAAATACATTTGCTTTTGTACGCTAGAAAGGAGGATTTATTCAGGCTAAGGCTTCCACCTTTCTCTGCTCTTTCTAGCTCTTCATCTTTATGAAATATCTGAACCACTGTGGGTCCTGCAAAGCATCGTACTCTGGGCTTTTGTATAAAATGCCCTTGCTATCAGGCATGCCTTTTGCCTAGTTCTGATACTGAATCTGGCTACTGGAAACAATTTGTCCACCTATGACTCAAGGTTGGGTAGATCAGTGGCTGCTCTTGCCAGGATCATATACATTCCAGGGCCTTGGGTAAAAGTATCCTTTTCAAGACGGGCTGGATATATTATTGATGGGGAGTTCTTTCTGTGGTTAAGTATTCATTGTTTTGGAAACCCATTTTTGGAAATTCAACTTGGCTTCAAATGATTTCTTCTCTAGTACAGTGGAATCTTCTGGTCATCTCTACTAAAAAGCAATTGTGAATTCCAGATTTTCTAAACTCTCTTGGCTGATTTGAGAGGTCCCTTCACCCCCACACTGGAACTCGAACTCTGGGGCTATTTTGAGATAGGATCCTGCTAAATTGTAAAGGCTGCCCTTAATCTTGGGATACTCCTACCTCAACCTCTCTTTAGCAGGGATTATAGGCATATGCTGCCATTCCTAAGTCTTGAAGGGACCTAGACAGGTCATGGGTGTTCAGAGGGGCTCAAAGTGCTGGCTTAGAAAAGGGAGGCAGGAGATAGTATGAAAATTTAGGAACCAAGAATAATCCCAGATTATTCAGAAATCTCTGGAAGAGGAATTTATTTTTCAAAACTTTATGAAATCCATGGCAACTGCATTCTAGTTGAGGAATGTACCTGTAACGGGTTTAGATGTGTTTATTTGGTAAATGCTTAGGTGAACAATCTTAATTTCTGGTGGTATCCTCTGGGGCAAAATATCAAGATCCCAAATGTCATGGAATACATTCTGGTGAAATTGCTGTTTGAAAGTGCTTAGGTGGCACTATGTAAACACAAGTCAGAAATAAGGAGGTATGGATGGTGTGATTTCAGTGGCCAAGGGCATTAAGTTGATAGGGCCTGAAGGATCTGTTTTCCAGAAGGAAAGCATCATCCATGGGACAAGATGCCTTTCACTTGAGTCAAGTGACCATAGCCCTTTCCCATCAGCTCTGCTTGTATTTACACCAGTGAACTGCCCCATCTTTTTGTGTTTCCATATTGTGGTGGTAAATAACCTTATCTAGTCATATCATAGCCTTGTGATTAGGAGCCTTTCTCTTAAGAAGTGACATTGTGTATGTCTCCTCTGATCCATGTCATGACTTTTAACTCTCTGAAAGACTTCTCTGCTTTTAAGCAGGTTCCATCAATTAATGTATATCAACTTCCAGGTGCATGGTTGATGTCTGTCTGGATTCTCCAAGAAGCAGATCTGGAGCAGCGATTTGATGCAAGTCATTGATTTAGATCATGTATGAGAATTGAGACAGGAGGGTTAGATTACTTGGATGGCTACCAGTGTGAATAGCTGGAGCCTTATGTTGTGGAACTCGGCACAGACCAACATAGAACACTGGTTTCAGAATATCCTACCTGGAGGGGAGAGTAAGGGAGCTGGAGTGTTTTTCCTGAGAGTCAAGGGCTGCTGGGGAAGTTATTGTTTTCCTGGTATGTTTGGTAGATGGGGAAGATAAGCTTTCCTTCCACAGTTACGGAAAAAAGGCTCTTAGGTAATTGGAAATTAGCAGAAACCTAATGAAATTGAAAGTCCCTAAGTGGGCACCAGCGGGTCAAACACAGGAGGAATTTTAAGTGACTGTGCAATAATCTCCTGGATGACCTGACCTGCTCCATACCATTCACAGGCAATTCCTTGATCTTGGTTTTTGACTTTTGGTACCAGGGATTAAACCCAGAAGTACTTAACCACTGAGCCACATCTCCAGTCCTTTTTATTTTTTTATTTTGACACAGGGTCTCCCTAAGTTGTTGGGGCCTTCCTAAATTGCCGAGACTAGCCTTGAATTTGTAATCCTTCTGCCATAGGCTCACAAACTGCTGGGATTACAGATGCCTGGCTTCCCTTGGTGATTTTGAAAACAGCCTTTGAGGTAGCTGTTACCATCAGACAGACACCTAATCATGTAGGTTAATTGCAAATCTTGACAGGGAGAAGCTTTGTGTCTCATTAAGCTGTAGATGCTCAGAGATGATGATGCAGGGAGTAAGATATCGACTGATCTCTGTCCTCAATGAGCTAATCTTGGAGCTGAGGGCATGAGACTTGTGTGAGTGAATTTGCCTTGTTTTGTTTCTTTTACCAAGAATGCCCTTCCCTGTACATGCAACAACAACAAAACAAAACAAAAACCCACAAAAAAAATTGAGGAACAAAAGATCTTTATGCCTTTAGGTGATTGTGGCTTCAGGCATCCTCTGGGCTTCTGGCCTTTCTCCCATAACCTCCTACAAAAATTGAAATGAGCAGATTCTCCCAACATTTCTACTTAAAAGCACCTATCTTCATATCTGTGTCATGCTAGTGTGCAGGAGACCCTGGTTGGATCCCCAGCACGACAAATTCAAACAATATACCTGTGTATGTGTACATATATGTACAAGGATATTCACTTCAGCTTTATGATAACAAAGCATCTAAAACTAGTATATTTAAACTTAAATATAAAGCAAGCATTACAATACATATGAATTAGGTCTTATATGTACTGATAGGAAACCTCCACAAGACATTAAGTAAACAAAAAGAATACCCAACAAACTGGATTTTCAGTTTGACTTAGTCAAGGAAAAATTTGTGATCCTCAGAAACAAAAAATTGTTGTGTGTACAGTTAGTTAGGCATACAGATTGAGGAAAAGGACTGGGAAGATACACAGTGAAATTTTAACAGTGGCCAACTGGAGAAAACTTGAAATTTCGGGGGAATGTTAGCAGTTTACAGGGCAGGTAAAGGAATAGGTGTTCTTTGGGTGTGTATGTGGAGGGGGGGCGGTACCAGAGATTGAACTCAGGGGCACTCAACCACTGAGCCACATCCCAGCCCTATACCTATTTTGTATATTATTTAGAGACAGGGTCTCACCGAAGTTGCTTAGAGCTTGGCCCTTGCTGAGGCTGGCCTTGAACTTTGAGCCTCCTGCCTCAGCCTCCAGAGCCGCTGGGATTACAAGCGTGTGCCACCGCGCCCGGCCAGAATAGGTGTTTTGTGGTTAAAATAATTTTAGAGAAAACAGTAATAGAGGAAATGATACTAGAAGTATATAACTTCTGGACGAAGGTCTGTAGCGTTTTTCTGGTTTAAGCATGCAAGTCCCAAGGACTGAATTACAGTTTGCACCTTGTAAAGCTTTCACTTCCCTGAAAGAGTTGATTATCACGGGGTGGTAAAAGTTGATTGAGAGACCCCGTGTGTTTGTTGGAGGGGCAAAGGGACCGAAAGGCGGTAGGAGGACTTTACTGCGGAAGAGTTCACCGAAGGGTAGCTTTTGAGTCCTTCCTTGCGGCAGCACGTCGGGAGAGGAGCATTCTGGAGCTGGGAACGGATTGGACAGTGGAACGCCGAGTCATCCCGGAGAGCTCCCAGCGTGAGTCACTCTTTGTGACGCAGGTCTTTCCCAACAGTCAGGTAAGTAAAGTCAGATCTCGGCTCCCGGGCTGGCTTTAGCTCAGCGGTTCCTTCGCTACAAAACTTATCATCATCTCGGTGGTTCGAGACCCGCGGGCGCTCACCAGTCCTTTTGCTGCAACCTCCAACTTTTATTTTCCCAAGTAACCAGCCAGGAGGGTTCAAGACGCCTCCTCTGCCTCCATTTCTCCGTAACCTACTTTGGAGTGAGTTTTGAAACCCCTTCTCTACCCGGAGCTTCTGGAAGGACCTGTTTCCCGCGAAGTTCAGCAACCTTTCCGTGATTGAAGGAATCAAGGCTTCTTTGGAGAAACGGCGGATTCTAATACTGGGGCAAGAAATGGAGAGATGAGCCCGGAGCATCTTGTAGTGCGGGAAAGTAAGGGGGTGCTTAAAAGCCACCCCTCCCTCGCCCGTTAAGTGCCAAGACTTAACTTTTGTAATTTTGTAGTTACTAATATCTGCGTTTTTGTTCAAATAATTACCATTATACTCGCATCTTTTTAAATGTCTTTTTTACCTGCGACCCATAGAATTTTTTTTCTTTCAAATCTAGTTGATTTTCTAAGATATACCTCAGAGTTGATCAATCCGGATCAATTTTCGTAGGCTCATCGAAGACCTTTTCAATGTTCCTATGGCCAGAAAGTTTCCTTGTCTTACACTTTTGAATATTACATCTGTTCTATTATTTTCTTCTTCAGAAACAGTAATACATGTTGGATTTTCTT